TTTCAAGCAGTGGCTTTACCCATGACACCACAAAATGCCAGCCCCACTTCATTCATTATTAATAGAATAATTCATTATACTGATTTATAATTCCACCACTGTGTGTGTGTATACACACACACACACACACACACACACACATATATATATATATCGACAGCCAGAGTTAGACAGTGAGAGAGAGAGAGACAGAGAGAAAGGTCTTCCTTCCGTTGGTTCACCCCCCCAAATGGCCACTATGGCCGGCGCGCTGCGGCTGGCTCATTGCACCGATCCGAAGCCAGGAGCCAGGTGCCTCCTCCTGGTCCCCCATGTGGGTGCAGGGCCCAAGCACTTGGGGCATCCTCCACTGCCCTCCCGGTCCACAGCAGAGAGCTGGACTGGAAGAGGAGCAACCAGGACAGAATCTGGCACACCAACCAGGAGTAGAACCCAGGGTGCCGGTGCCGCAGGCAGAGGATTAGCCTAGTGAGCCGTGGCGCTGGCCCCCACCACTGTATATATTAACTACACACACATACACACATATATTTGTAGATTTGTTCCTGGCCTCCCTATTGAATTCCATGGTTATCTATTCTTAGAGCAATATCACAATATTTTAATTATAATAACTTCATAAAAATTTATTTTATCTGGCACAATAAATCTCCCAGTTTTGGTTCTTTTATTTCAAAATTGCCTGTGGCTATTCGTAGCCCTCTTTTCTTCCATGCTAATTTTAAGATCATCTTATCAAATTCTGTGGAAAAAATCCTTTGGATCTAAGATGGGAATGACATTGAATTTATGGACATAATTTGGGGATAATGGCTCTTTTTTAAGCTGTGGCATCTTTCCATGTATGAATGTCCCATGTGACTTTAATATTTAAATCTTCTTTTGTGCCCTTCAACATGATTTTACATTTCTGTCCTTGCAAAAGTCTTGAACATTTTTTGTTAGATTTAATTGCAGATGAAATGATTTCTTATTGTAAAGAACATGTGTCTAATGTTTCACCTCTGGGTATAATGTTGGGTGCATGCTTTCCCTAAAATATTCTGCATCAGATTAAGAAAAATTTCCACTACCTCTAATTCTTGAAGAAGTTTTTGTTTTTAACACAAAACTTTGAATTAAAATATAAATAGATCTGAATTCTTTTTTGAGCTTTATTTATTTGGAAAGGCAGAGTTGCAGAGAGAGGGAGAGACATCTTCCATTCACTGGTTTGCTCCCCACATAGCCACAACAGCCACCAGCCAGGAGCCTGGAACTCCATCCGGGTGTCCCATGTGGGTGCAGGGCCCCAAGGACTTGGCCATCTTCCTCTGCTTTCCCAGGCACAACAGCAGAGAGCTGGATCAAAAGTGGAGCAGCTGGTACTCAAACCAGCACTCATTTGGGATGCTGGGATCACCGGTGGCCGTTTATTTGAATTTTATCAAAAGGTTTTTCAATATAGTTTTTATTTGTTAATGTGGGAATTATATTAGTCACTTTTCTGAAGATGCGATCTTGTTTATAATTCTGGGATAAGTATACTCTGTCCAGCATAGATATAGTTGACAGATAGATGATAGGTGATAGACAGATGATAGGTTATAGACAGATGACACATTATAGATAGATAGATAGATAGATAGATAGATAGATAGATAGATAGATAGATAATAGGTGACTGTATTCAACCTGCAAGCCTGTCTGGGTGCAGAAGAGGAAGGGAGTGCTGTCCCAGGTCAGGTGCACGTATGAAGGTGTTGGTGCTACCTGGGCTTGTGGGCATCTAAAGCTTGATTTCTCTGTTGGCATTTCATGGGTTTCCCTGAGCCCCGTGTACCCCACAGGAACCTCCAGTTGCAATGCTTGCGGCATGGTGCCATCCAGTCGTCTTCGTCTGATCCCACCCACCGGAGGGCAGGCACTTATTCCCCTCTCTGCTGCGTTTGGTAAACTCACCCACCCGTGCCCACTGTCAGTTAGAACACAGCTGCCGCTCAGACGTCCCTTCTCCCTTGCTCTGCCCTCTGCTCCTCCCATCACTGCAACTTGCCTTCCAGTTTCCCAGGTGCTTGGAAATACTCACAACCTGCACTCCTGAGGATGCATTGAGCTACTGCAGTGGTCCTTCAGCCTCTGTGACTGGCTGGAGCAGAGGGGGCAGCACCTGTTCACACTCCCACCTTCAAAGGCATCCTCCAGTCTCCAGATCTCTCCTGTTCGTGTCCCTTTAGCAGGTGGACCTGGCTGCTAGCCAGTGCTGGCAGGACACGGTTCACAAAACCTTGGTGTGTCCTGTGGAGAAGAGGAGGTTTGGCGTTGGCTTTGGCAGTGCAAATCATTTGGTGACTGGCTCGTTCATGGTCACTGGAGCTGAGATGGAGGAATCCCACTTTAATATCTTTTTATACATTTTCTCTAGAGCATTACTAGTTTTGTCTGCACTCAAGTGTTTTGGCATAGAATTGTTTATAGCATTCTCTTAAAGTTTCCCAATCTCTGTGTCTATAACCTCTTTTTCATTCAGAATAGATGCACCTTCTCGGCTTTTTACATCAAACTTGCCACAGTTTTGGTTATTTATTAGTGTTTTCACAGAACATTAAAAATTCTCCCTTTCTGGGCCTGTGCTGTGGCACAGCAGATAAAGCTGACACCTGTGCCATCGGCATCCCATATGGGTGCAGGTTTGTGCCCTGGCCACTCCACTTCCCATCCAGCTCCCTGCTGCCGACCTGGGAAAAGCAGTAGAAGATGGCCCAGATGTTTGGGCACCTGCCATTCATGTAGGAGACCCGGATAAAGCTCCTGGCTCCTGGCTTTGGCTGGCCCAGCCCTCGTCATTGTGGCCATCTGGGGAGTGAACCAGTGGATGGAAGATCTCTCTCTTTTTCTGTCTCCCCCTCTTTCCCTGCAGCTCTCTCAAATAAATAAATAAACACATCTTTTTAAAAAATTCTCTTTTGTTTCTTTGTATTCCATTAACTTATGCTTCTCCTTTTTACTCTTTAACTGTGGAATAAATCATACATACAAAATAGTGAGTATAAATTGTGTGTGTGAGAGAGAGGAATAGCTACAAAGTGAACAAACGTAGATCCATGAAGGAGTCTCAGAAACTGACTACCAGCTGTTGGATCCCCCAAACACACACATCTCTCACTGTCCTAACTGTTGGGTTAATCAACTCTTTACTTTTTTTTAAAGATTTATTTATGTACTTGAAGGGCGGAGTTACAGAGAGGCGGCGGGGCGGGGCTTGGTCTTCCATTCGTTGGTGAATCCGTCGCTCTTGTCCTCTGCAGTTGTGGGGCTCACGGGCGGCAGCCCAGGGACGTGAACGCACCACCATGGGAAGCCGCTTCCAAGATGTTATTTGCTGAGGCCTCGTCTCTCCACTCCCGGAGAAACGGTGCCAGCACAGATGACAAAGCAGGCAGAACAAAAGAGGGCTGACAGGCAGAACTAGGGCAGTGGGTTTGGGCAGTGACAGCCCCCAGCTCAGCATGCCAGATGCAAGCGGTCCTCCTCGGCGTGTGTGACTGGGCCCTAAAAATAGCCCATTGTGCTCCAGTGAGCTCAGCCAGGCACTGGGTCCTCCCCCTGGACGGGGCTCCGAGGGGGCTCCAAGCAAGCCCTGAGACCAGGCTGCTCCCCATGGCAACCGGGGCAGCCTTTGTCCTGCAAGGCCGAGTCCTCTAGGCGGTGCTGGTGCAGTGACCCGGGCACCTGGAGCCCAGGTAGGACTCCACGCCCCAGCTCACTCGGAGCCCAGGAGCCCTCAGATGAAGCGGCAGGGCCACAGAGTCTGCACTTGATGGAGGCGCCACGTGGCTGACCTTTCTGCTCCTGGCTGTCCCGGCTGCCAGGGACAGCATGACTGAGGCCTGAGAACAAAGGAAGAGGCCCGCTACATGACACAGGAGAGACTTCTGCAAGTGACACCCAGAGCCCTGGGCAGGGAAGGCGTTCTCACCCCTCGCCAGCGGGGCTGGCCCTCAGCCCAGTCATCCTTGTGATGAAAATGAAAGAAAGCAACTCAATTACCTCCTCCAAGGCCTTTTCTGCCTCTATTTTTGGGCACTCCAGGAACCCCACATCCTGCTGGGGGCCTGCACTCTGCTTCCGGGCCCTCCATCCATGCACCCCAGACCCCTCGTGAATGCCCCTGCCGCATTCCAGGGTCCACTTTGTTGAGCAACAGCTGGCAGCCAGGCAAGCCTATCAGGTGCTGGAAGGGGGTCCAGGGCGCCCACTCTGTACCGTTCTGCATTTAAGGATGCTCAGAGGGCCAGCACTGTGGCACAGCCGGTAAAGCTGCTGCCTGCGAGGCTGGCATCCCTAATGGGTGCTGGTTCGAATCCTGGCCGCTCCGCTTGCAATCCAGCTTCCTACTAACATCCTGGGAAAAGCAGTAGAAGATGGCCCAAGTGCTTGGGCCCCTGCACCCATGTGGGAGACCCTGAGGAAGCTCCTGGCTTGGGCCTGGCCCAGCCCTGGCAGTTGTGACCATTTGGGGAGTGAACCAGTGGGTGGAAAATCTCTTTCTCTCTTGCTCTCTGTAATTCTTTCAACTCTCTCTCTCTCTCTCTCTCTCTCTCTATATATATATATATATATACACAAAAGAGGGCTGCTCAAGAACATGTGTCCTGCTTTGCTTCACCATTGAACCCCCGGCTCCAGCCACAGACCCGACCCATATGTGTTGAATGAATGAATGAGAGTGAATGAATGAATGGCTGTATCAGCCGCTGCACCTGAGAGTGCGGGGCGGGGTTGTGAGGAGCAGGACTTCTGAGAGTGCTTTGATGCGAACTGTTGAGCACAAGATCCGGCCTGTCCCCAAGCCTTGGTGAGAGTATGCAGCCTGTTCACTCCCTCTCCCGCGAGAGGAGAAAGACGCTGACCCGGCGCCCGAAACCAGCCCACAACAAGCAGGGAGACTTGCACGGTCGCACGCACTGCATATTTTCTAAACCGTCTGCGGCTAAATATAAAACAGCTAAACCGGGAGGGGGTGGGAAAGGGCAGGGAGGCCAGAGCCGGAGAGCGGCTGCGAGGAGGAATCAAAGGGGAGCCAGCCGCCAGCCTCTGCTCGCAGCTAGCAGGATGATCGCAGAGGAAATTAAAAGTGAGTTTCCTTGAAGGAGGAGAAGGTAATTGGTTCCCTCTGCTCTGGTGTCCCAGCACCTGCCCTCCATCTGCACCCGGAGGAGGAGTCATCATGGGAGGCCGCGGCACCGAACTACAGAGCTCTTCCAGGCCGTCCGAAATGCGCGCACATGCACATGCGCATACAGCACATCCACACGCGCATGCGCGGGCACGCACATGCGCAGTCCATCTGCCCCGTCTTCCCGCCCTCCAGCCGCATCAAACCCTGTCAGAAGAGAAGGTAGGCGACCCGCAAGGCTGGTGGCTAAGTGGCATGAAGGGCTCGGCTGTGAAGTTTGGGTTACTGACAGTAAGATGGCAAAGTGTGTGGACGGCTTCCGGCTTCCGTCACTGTGTAGGCCAGAGGGAGGCCGAGTGACCCCCGGGGTGGTGTCACGAGGGGTTTCGGTGGAGAAGTGTCCTTCGCCTCTGCTCAGGAGTGTGGACCCCAGCAGGCTGGCGGAGCCGGGAGACAGCATCTCCACTCTGGGATCTGGGCCCTCAGCTACTGGTCGCATTAGTTGGGTCTGCACTGGGGCCACCTGCGGAATCAGACCATCTGAGTGTGAGAAAGAGGAAGTCAGCGTTAGAGGGGGACAGAGGGGGACACACACAGAGGAAAGAGAGAGAGGGGCTGGCTGGGCGCTCCAGGCCTTTGTGAAGCCCTCCTGCCCTCGTGTTCCGTACTCCACCCCTCTGGTCTGAAACCCTCACCTTTTGCTTAAGCCAGTTGGCACGGGGTCCTACTAGCTGGAGGCTAAAAGGCCTTGGCCAGGGCCCGGCCCTCAGTTGACCAGGGTCAAGGGCGAGGATGGAGGGCTTAGGGGAATGCACAGGGGCAGCAGGGCTGCCACAGCCGCTTTCCTGCTGGCTCCCTGAGCTGCACAGCCTCTGGAGAAGACCCCGGGGCCGGGCCACCCTCTGGCCCAGCTGGAGTTTGGTTGGGATGAAGGTCCTCACTGCCTTACTTCCTTGGGAACCCACCAGGCCGTAGCACAAGGCATTGGCAGGAACTAGAGATGGGACAGTTCCTAACTGTGCACTCTCTCACTCTGCTCCCAGAACCAGGCATGTTCTGAAGGTGGATGATTTGAAACTGAACAAGGGGGCAGGGGTGAGGGCTGGAGGTGGGGGTGGGGATGGGGAGCCAAGCCAAAGGCTGATAGGAGGGCTGCCGGCTTGCCCAACTCTGGGGGTGCCATGGTCTCTGGAAGGCACCCCTGTGTGGGGGGCTGGCTCTTTGTTTCTTCACCAGCATACCTGCTGGGGACCCTCGCCCCATGGAGACTGGGGATTGGGGCTAGGGAGAACCAGGTGCTGACACGGGCAGGCTCCACGGGAGGGAATCTGCTCTGCTAGGCCCTTGCCTATGGGGAAGGGGAAGACATTAGGAGACTTTGCCAGTGGGAGCCCCGTGACAGTGTCATCACCTTAGAACCAGGGTGATCACAAGGAAAAGCAAGAAGAAATCGTATTTCCCAAATGACATCTGAAATGCTACTAATGTGGTATTCCTCTGCCTCCCAACCATGGTGCACCCCTTATTTGAGAATGTGTAAAACCTTTATCCATTTCTTTTCATTTTTTATATGAAAAGCAGAGAAAAAAAGATGTTGATTTTTCATCCACTAGTTCATCCCTCAGATGCCTGCAGCAACCAGGGCCTGGCAGGCTGGAACTCAATCCAGACCTCCCACACGGATGGCAGGGGCCCAAGCACTGAGCTGACACCCCTGCCTCCCGTGCTGGGCAGTAGCAGGAAGTTGGAGTCAGGACTGTCTGTCACCCAGGGCCTCAGTTGTGAATTGAGGAGGACTTGTTTCCCAACAACTTGTGCAGCTGTGAGAACACTGATGTCTCAGTGTTATGCTTGATGGGTTAAGGGTGAGGACTTGATCTAATGATGGCATCTGGGAGGTGGGTCTAGTGGGAGGTCTTTGGGGGCACAATGGCCACAGCTCGGCTGATCTGAAGCCAGGATCCAGGAGCCCAAGCATTTGGGCCATCTTCTGCTTTCCCAGGCCATAGCAGAGTTGGATTGGAAGAGGAACATCTGGGACTCAAACTGGCACCATATGGGATGCCGGCATCACAGGCAGAGGCTTAACCTCCTACACCACAGTACTGGCCCCAGAATTTCTAGCTTTTAAAAATATCAACATGCTTAAACACCCCAAAGTTAATTATGGGGCTGCTGCTGATGGCCGTGCTCACTGAGAATGTTCTAGAAGCCAGGCACATCCTCTCACTTTATCTGGGTCTCCCATGTGGATGGTAGGGGTCCAAATACTTAGGCCATCCTCTGTTGCTTTTTCAGGAGCATTAGCAAGGAAGTGGATTGGAAGCAGAGCAGCTGTCCCTTGAACTGGCTCTCTGATACGAGATGCCGGCGGCACTAGCTGTGACATAACCCATTGCACCGCAACACCAGCCTCCTCCAAGGCATCTTGTCTGATGTCGTTGCTTAGCTGGGGATATTGCCGTCTTTAGATATGTGACTGAAATGGCATTTGGACTCTGTGTTCATTTATGCTGACTGATAAAAGGCCAACATACATTGTGTGCTTCTAAATAGATATTAAAAAGAGAGAGTGTAAAGGCTGGTGAGATGACAGCATTGTGAGGGTGCTGGGGGAGTTATGCTCTAGGCCAGCCCCCAGCCCTCTTCTCAGCCTTACCTCACCAATCATTCAGCGAGTCCTTATGCAGTGTCTACAACCAGGGAAACAAAATCTCCCAGGGCGGGTCCTGGCTTCACAGAGCTGAACTGTAGGGTCCTTGAGGAAATGGAACGGAGCAACTGACTGCGAGGTGGGATGGGGGTGTGGGCGGGAAGAGAGCAGCCTGGCTGGTACAGGTGGAAACAGACCCAGCCCAGGGGTCTTGAGTCCACAAGAGGAGGGCTCACACAATGGGTTTACATTTGGATCCACTTAGCTCCAATTTTGAAGAATAATAAGAGATAGAGAGAGAGAGGGAGGCAGGGAGAGAGAGAGAGAGAGAGAGAGAGAGAGAGAGAGAGAGAGAGAGAATCTTCCATCTGCTGGTTTGCTCCCCGAATGCCCACAACAGCCAGGGCTAGGCCACGATGAACCAGGAGACAGGAGCCAGGATCTCCATCCAGGTCTCCCATGTGGGTGGCAGGATCCCCAGTGTTTGGGCCATCACCTGCTGCCTCCCAGGGCGCGTAGTAGCAGGGAGTTAGAATTGGAAGCAGAGACAGGACTTGAGCCCAGGCACTCTGACATGGGACGCAGGCATCCCCAGGGTGGCTTACCACTGCATCACAATGCCCACTTGCAGATGGTATTATAGCTGTGTGACTAAGAGTAAGTCATTCAGCCTCTCTGAGTCTTCGCTCTCCGTTTATTTCTGTCTTACCTGCCGTCCTGTCTGCCTCATGGGGTTGTGATATGGATTTAAATGAATTCATGAGTGTGACACGGTGTGACACATACATGCATAATCAACATTCATTTCCATTTCAGTTATGACAGGCTCTGCTGTAACAAAACCCAAATAGCCGAGCTCTACTTCTCACCCGTGTGGAAGGTGGGCCACGCATGGTCACGGCTGGGGCTCTTGCGTGTCGTGTCAGGGACTCAAGTGTCTTTTGGTTCTGTGTTCATGGCCTCCGTTCCCAAGGTCACTTTATAATCCCAGGTGACGACTCCAATTCCAGTCAGTAGAAAGGAGAAACTTACACTCTCTTGATAAGGACACACACTGGACATTGCACCACCTACTTTAATTTTTTTTAATTAATTAATTTATTTAAAAGGCAGAGTTACACAGAGAGAGGCAGAGAGAGAAAAGAGAGAGAGAGATCTTCCATTTGTTGGTTTTCATCCCGTTTCTTCCCTCCTGGGTTTCCTATCCGAGTCACGGCACCATTATGTCGCTCCCCCTCTTCATGGAGGAACGACACAGGACCCTGAGCTGTTCTTTTGTCTGCTCGGCCCTCCCCGGGTTTGCTGCTGGTTCTTCCCGGGTTGGCTACCGTCCCTTCCACCTCCGTGGAAGGGCGGTTCCCCCTGCCACCTTCCCCACTTCCGCGGGGGAGCGGCACACCGCCAGCCGGCTCTCTCGGGGGCTGCACAGGTGTTCCTCTTAGATGTTCCCTGATGCATGTTGTCTCTCTCCTCCTTTATAGTCCTCTTCCACCAATCCCAACTCTGCTACCCACACGCTGAGTACGCTGCTCTCCTCCAATCAGGAGCAGGTCCTACAGTTTATTGGTTGAACTGGAGGCAGCTGTGTAGAAGCTGTTTCTCCCTTCTCAGCGCCATATTGTGGGAGAGCAGATGCATAGAATAAGTCTTAATTCCAGTAACTTAGTCTAGTCCGAGTTGCTCCCCACACTCCTTCAGGGTCTCCCATGTGGAGACCAAACACTTGGGCCATCTTCCGTTGCTTTCTTAGGCACATTAGCAGGGAGCTGGATTGGAAGTGGAGCAGCTGGGACTTGAGCCAGTGCCCATATGGGATGCCAGCACTGCAGACGGCTGCCTTACCTACTGTACCACACTGCCGGCTCCAGTTTATTGGATTAAAGCATCAGTGAGCATGCATGTTAACCAGTTTCCATGGCTCAGAAGTTCAGGAGTCAGAGTGTTAGCCTGCTCAGCGAGGACGGGGGCATCCCCTCCAAGGTGGATCCTTCGCGCAGCTGGCAAATCAGCACCAGTTTTTTTTTTTTTTTGAAAGTCAGAGTTACACAGAGAGGAGAGGCAAACACAGAGAGAGGAGAAGCAGATAGAGGTTTTCCATCTCTGGTTCACTCCCTAGTTGGCTGCAACAGCTGGAGCTGTGCCAATCTGAAGCCAGGAGCCAGGAGCTTCCTCTGGGTCTCCCACACGGGTGCAGGGGCCCAAGGACTTGGGCCATCTTCTACTGTTTTCCCAGGCCATAGCAGAGAGCTGGATTGGAAGTGGAGCAGCCATGTCTCAAAGTGGTGCCCATATGGGATGCTGGCACTGCAGGTGGTGGCTTTACCTGCTTTGCCACTGTGCCGGCCCCAAGGCACCAGTTATTGGCAGGAGGCCTGAGCCCTTCTCACATGGGTCTCTCCATAGCCCCTGGGCATCCTCGTGCTGGGTGGTCAGCTTCCCCCAGAGCCAGTGATCCAGGACAGAAATAGGCAGAAGTGGTGAGGTCTTGGCAGACCCGGCAGCGGGCCACACCATCGCTTCCTGCCTGTTGTGTGCATCAGAAGGGAGTCTCTAGGACTGGCCCACACTG